TAGCTCTAGCAATTTAATAGTCACTAAACTACTAGGTAACAAGTTCATGTAATTTAATGGTCACTAAGCTACAGAGAACCTGAATTAAAGCAACAAAGTAACAAACTTTAACATGATAGGTAATGATAATCAAACACATGCACAAAACCAACTTATAAAATCCATAAATTAATAAACTAAGCCATAGATTCAAGGTTTCATCTAGCTAAACGAAAGTCGACTAATTTAGCTACTCATATCTGAAAGTAAACACAAAAGTTAATAATAAATTGACATGATTAAATTAATGCAAACCGAATGTAGCGGTTTTATATTCAAATTATCGATCTTCAAACAATCCCTCCTTTCAAAAGGTGTTTTTCGCACTTTTCTGACCTTTAAACTCGCTTATAACTCCAGGAAATCATATCCAACCTCCCCAAAGTCAATATGCTAAGGGATATTTATATTTTTCAAAATTTGCGTCTGACGTCGTGATCTCAGTAGAATTCATGTTCGGCAAGGAAACTGCATTCCGCGTAGCTATCTTCTAGAAGAATCAATCTCACGTCGTGCGATTATACTCCTCACGTCGTGAGAATTGGGAATTAGCATTTGGCACAAAAACAAAAGTCGTCCGAAATTTTGTCTAGTTTTCAGATAATTTTGAATCTCGTCAATCAGATTTACGAGTCATGAGATATGGTCAAAATACTGACGACGGGTCAAGCTGTCCAACAACATCGTTTTCGTTTCTTTTTCAGCTCCAGTCCTCCAAATATCCAGCTTTTGTCGGTTTCAATCTTTTTCTTCGAGAATGTCCAATTTTTCCTGCAAAATACAATTTAAACATTATAAGTACAAAATATCTTTGCAATTAACCCAATTATAGCTTAAAATGTATTTAAATACTGCCTAGAAATGTGTATAAATATGGTACTATCAGTGGGCAATGTTTTTAATGTGATGTATTGAAATAAAGTTTTGCTTGGGGACAATCAAAAGACAAGTGTGTAGTATTTTGATATTGCCATATTTATACATATATTTATTCATTATTTCAATACATTTTAGCTATATTTTGATTAAATACAAAGATATTCCGTACTTATAACATATAAATTCTATTTTGTAGTAAAAAAGGACATTCTCAAAGAAAAGGGACCACAGCTGGACAAAGCTAGGAACTTGGAGGTTGGAGCATGCATCAATAGGAAAGAGAATAGAAGAAAACGAGCATATAGAGAATCCCATATCATGGTCTCTTATATGCCACGGCGTGACAATGTGTCCAACCTAGAAGCTTCTTCAGATCTGCATGGAAACTTGGCGCATACGGATCATAAGTGATTCCCATTATGTGCCGAGCATTGTTCCATGTTGTGGAAGTTGTAACATGGTAAGTATAAATTACGACTTTTAGGTTGAGTTATAGATCTGGAGAGAGAGAGAGAGAGAGAGAGAGAGAGAGAGAGAGAGAGAGAGAGAGAGAGAGAGAGAGAGAGAAAGAGAGAGAGATAGAGAGAGAATTTGAGGAGAGCTGCAAATTACTACGACCAAAAGTAACCGTAAACCCTTTAGAACACAAAATTAGATTGAAGAACAAGTTTTACAGAGATCCAAGTGAAGAATCATCATTAATCATTCGACTTGCCTAGAGTTTATCATGTTCAACCTAGTTTGCTATTTGATTATGTGCTCTTTTTCTGTAATTATAGGCTAATAACCATTTACTTTCGTTTATAATAGATGAACCTACAACTGTGTGTTAATTTCTACTTTTATGGATTATTGAAGTTGGTTTTAGCTAGTGTTTGTTAGATCGCACCCTAGCATGTTAAAGTTTCAATCTTTATTGCCTTTCCTTTGAGTTTTGGGTAGTTAAACGACCTTTGATTGCCTGAAATTGTTTACCTAGTTTTTTATGATCATTAAATTGCTAGAGCTAGAGATTGACCATATCCTAGTATAGGTAGTAAAGTTAGTTGCTTAATTGAGTTAGAGAGCATTATTTGATCATAATATATGCTTGATTATTTGATCATAGGTAAATAATTCTAGATCTATTCATTCATAGTCCAAATATATTTTAAAATCAATTTGGTGTACTTAGCTTGCATGATCATTGAGGTTAAAGTTCATAAATTGACATATGCCAGTTAGTCTGATCAATGATAACTAGTAGTTTTTAATTTGGTAACCAACTAAAATTAATACATTGCTTGAAATTAACCTTAGAAAAAAGGGGGATTCGAAGATAAACGGAAGTATCTCTTTCTCTTGATTGAAAATCGTTTTTAGTTGTTTGCTTAGGTTTGAATTATTTAGTTATTCAATTAAATTTTTTTTGAACTTGAAAAATCAGATAAAACCCCCATTTAAAATTGGTTTCTTTAGTTTAATTATTAGTTTTATTTTCTTAGTTAAAATTTCATTCTCTAAGTCCGAGTCTTACTTACTCTACTTTACTACTATGCGACCAGGTAAACCGCCTATTGTATTTTAGCTGAGTTGATTAGATAAGATATAATTTTTAAAGCATTGTTTCTAAACACATCAATATGATCCTTATTTGTATACGGTTGAAGAGTGTAAGCTTAAATTAGGGTGTGTTTCAGGTTATGCATACCAGGTGTTCGATGAAGTGTGTGAAATAGATGTTGTATCTTGGAATGTCATAGTAGCTTGTTTTTGTAGAGAATGACTTGTTTCTCCTCAGGTCGGAATCCGAATCGGAACAAGTGAAATTAGTGGAATTCTTTTTAAGATAAATAGAGGGGCACCTCCTGTATCATCTTCCCTTCGAATTGCATGTTTCTTGAAGGAAAATGGTGGAAAAAGACAAAGTTAGAGAGAGAGAAAGAGAGAGAGAGAGAGAGAGATTTCTTTATGGTGTTTAGCAACCCAAAACAGAGCAAAAAATGTGTTTCTGTGTGTATTATTCACAAGTTCATCGCATGCCCATTTTTTTTTTAATTTTTAATGAAGACATTTCTTTATAATGTTTAGCTACTGAATCCTCTATGCTACCATGAATAAACTATAGTCATGTGTTTTGCATATTAGTGTGTGTATTTAAAATTTCTAGTTGCAGGTTTTTAAGAAGAAGAAGGTGACGAAGAGAGAGAGAGAGAGAGAGAGAGAGAGAGAGAGAGAGAGAGAGAGAGAGAGGTGTTGCAGGCTTGTTAGTATTTTAAAATTAATAAATATTAAAATAATATTAGAGATAATGTAAAAACTCAATCATAAGTGCAAAAAAATATTTTTAGTTTTGACAGGGACCAATTTCAAAATGAAAACTAGCTCAACAAGACGGTCCTTTTAAATTTTCAATGGTTTAGACTTGTTTCCAGAATGCAAATCACATGTGCTACTTTTGTAGTTTTGTCAATTTGAAATCGTTACAAAATGCATATGGTATCTCATGAGTGTTGACAAGGTGTTTGTCAATCACTAGGTTAAATCGTTGAATGTTCAAGTCAATTTTAAACAAATGTATAATTTAAAAATAGAAGTTAAAAAAATTGTAGGAGTTAATATAAAAAGTTTTATTTAATATATTAAAAATAATTATAATTTGTAATCAAATTACTTGAACAACCTATAAAAAAAACTTATCAAGGACCAACAATAGGGAAAATGACACAAATGCGCTACGAACTTTTTAGAGTTTACTTTTATTATCGGGAAACAATCTACAACACAATATGAATTATGGTAAAAAGAATGTGAATTTTGTGAAAGTGGTAGATAGCTTTTATTATATGTGTAAAAATATATAATTTTTTTTTCGTAAAAAAGCATACTTTTTTTTTTAATTTCAAACGGTTAACTGACCGTTGCACTCTTTCCTACGTCCGTTAATGACCGTCATTCCATCTACGATGCCCGATCACCATAGCACGCAACGGGATGGTGTTTACCCCCATAACTTGCACGACGCGCTCATGTAGTCATTTTTCTCTTGTACATATGCTAGTTGTTAAGAAAAATATATATTGTGTGGTATTTAAACTTAATACTTTTCACAAATACAAAATATTTAAATAAGAAGTTGTTTATTGAAATTTTTGCAGATTCATCGGTTTCATGAATTGTTCATGACACATGTTGCATATTCAAGATCAAATGTTATCTTTTCCATAATTAATCCTAGGAAATGACGAAGTTACTATGTTTCCCTGAAGAGCCAATAACGTTGATTCATTGTCACCTACGCCTTGTACAACTTCATCATCGTAGGTTTCTTTTAGGTTCTGGGAAAATTGCACCACTCCCCTCCAAAAAAACAAAATGTATCATCATGCCCTCATGTGTTTAATTAATATTATCTTTACATCGATCTAATAAACCTTTTCTTCTTAACACACTAAACTATAGAACTTGTAAAGTAGGTAGTAGGATTCTCGTATATATCTTTTCGAACGTTTGTATTGGGTCTTTTTGGGGAAGTAATTTTATATATGGGCGGTAGGATGCACATTCCATGTCACGTTAATTGTATTCTTGAATTGTTAATTAACAATTGAGATCCATAATAAACTAATAAATAAGATAATTATGCATCTATAAATTATTGTATGAAAGATTATGTGTAATTCCTTAATGTTTTATAACTTATTTTTTTTTTCTCTGGAAGAACCTTGCGCATGTTCACTATGATAATATTATATATGTTTCATACTACATGATTTACGTACAAAAAATTATTTTCAGTTAGTGTCAGTGGGTACCATATTAATGCACTTCATGCACTTCATTAATGACTAGTGAACTTAAAGTAATCCATTATTAGGTTCTTGATCGGTTTACAGCATTGAAGTGCTCACATGCATGGAACCCCACCCTTAATACACAAGACAAAGCGCTATGTAAGGGAAAAAAATAAATGAAGGTTCAGAAAATTTAAAAAATTAAATCTTATATATATATATATATATATATATATATATATATATATATATATATATATATATATATATATATATATAAAGATGTTTGGTGCCAAAAATTAATTCATGAGTAACCAATGTTTATCATATTTCCCCAAATAAATTACAGATTTCAAGATTCAAATCTATAACAATCTAATTAATAAGTTTAGAATAGTATACATTTCAATTTGGTTTTTAAACAAACTAAAATCGAATAAACTTATGTAGTCTCGTGATTCAATATATGGTAATTCTTGCGGTAATTAACCACTTCTAGAAAGAGATTCAAGAACCCATGTTTTGCCACCAGAGCTACTACCACCACTCTCTCTATCCCTAGGACCATCAGCATGGATGTTATTACTGATTTGGCTCTCTTTATTAATGATGGAAGAGATTGCAGCCGCAACAGCAACCCTAAATTTAGGATGAGAAGCAATAGCACTCATGTTTTCAGCCAAAATTGACTTATTGTTGTTGTTGCTATCTTCTCCACCTTGCCAAACCCCATTAATCCCATCTACTTGCTTTGGTCTTGAAAAAAGGCTTTCATTAATAGGGAAGCTGTTCGGCATCCAAGGAAACCCTAATTGAGACGAGGGGCTATGGTGAGGGTTTAGTGGATTGTTGGTGAGATCAAAGACAAGTCCTTTCGAAGGGTCATTAGGCGTCGTATGTGCGGATGAATATGGAGAAGAATTAGAGTTCAGAATGTTTGAAGACATGTGGTAATTAGCGAAAGGCTGCTGATTCATGGCTCCAAGTTCAGATGAAATATGATTGTTTGAATCCATTAGCATGAAAGATGTTGCTGCCGCAGATGTTGTTGAAGCCATTGCAGTTGCGCCAACGGGTAGTGGATGATTGTGATTTCCCTCATAAGTTGTGATTAGTATCGACATGTCTTCTAAACATCTTTGCACCTATATATTAATCATACAAGTAAAAACCATGAGATAATTAAAGTCTTGTAATTTATGATATTTTTATTAACCTATTTATTGTGCTAAAAGTAAGGATTAAGATTCTTATTGGAAAAAGAAAAAAAGAAGTGGAAAATATGCAGATGCACGCAATCACACAAGGTACTTGGGACAAACCTGTTTCCTAACTGGGCAACCAGGAGCGACTGTACAACGATAGTATGCTCGCGGACAAGGGTTTCCCTTGGCAATCTTTTGTCCGTATTTTCTCCATTGACATCCATCATTCATCTATAAATTATAACACAAATCAAGAAAACTAGTGATCAATATTGATTTGTAAAGTATTATATTAACTATATATTTCTAGTAAACAGTTACTATAAGTTTACGACACTGCAGTTTGTGAGAATAAGCGATTGCAAGAAATCACTGATATATAAGTAAGAGAAACTTAACAGAAATCGTAATTTGGATATATACATGATATACGATTCAAACTTACTGTGGCTGATTCACATCTTGCCCTCACTGAAACCCTAGCTTTTCTGTTTGGCAGTGAAGCCATCGGATTATTAGCAATATTACTAGCTTTATTTTCGCCTCCAAAATTGCCGGAATTCATCAAATTGTTTTGTTGCATATGCTTCTTGATGACCTCTGATAAATCCTTATGATTTCCTTCTTGATGATCTCTTGCATGTGGGGACGTTGTAGTATTGCCTTGAATCCTCAATGATAAACCTAAGTTTTCATTTTCGCTTTCTTGCAATGGTGGCGATCTTGGGCTAATTTTCTTGATATCTTGATCTTTATCATGCCGGTTAAGAGAAAGAAAAGCTTTCGGATCCTGCATATATGGTTTAGAAAACTATATAAAATCTGAAAGTATGATTCACATGGGTTTTATATGTACTTGGTAGTATTAATATTAAGCTACCTTGAATTGGCGAGAAGATTGTCGAACTGTGGAAAATTTCATTTGTAGATCATAGTAATCTTTCATTGTTTGCTCTACTACTTGTCTCAACACCTTGTTCTCCTCCTTCATCCGATTCATCTCGATCTGTAATATCGATAACTTAAACAAAAAGTTACATATTAGTTTTTTTAACAATAAAATTGGCCTGAAATGAAAAATAATAATAATAATAATAATAGTAAGAAGAAGGGTAAGTATATATATGTACATCAAGGTTTTGAAAGGTTGTACCTTTTCTTCATGACGATGATCAAGGTCTTGCCTTTTTGGTGCTTCAGTTGGGTCGGTGCCAGTTTGTACATCAAGTTCTGAGTGTTGTACTTGGTGCTCTTGTGATGGTACTTGTCTATCATCATCATCCTCATTAACCTGATCTTGATGATATGATTCTGATGAATCTCTAACAGGTTCTTGATCTTGAGCATCAAGCTTCAGGGTCAGATCGATTTCCATTTCAGTGTTTTCTTCTTCTCTTCCCATACTTACATAAATGGGAACGTCTCTCTATCTCTCTCAATCTTTTATTTGTCCAGAATGCTGCTTTTGAGACACCAAAGTCAATTACCCCGTCTCAAGGGAGGAGGTATGCTTAGGCACACAAAGGACGCATCTAAGTTTTGACTTTAACTAGGTCCTCCATAATTTTTCTAAAACTATATTTTAATTGACAACTAATTTCATGTTTCCTTAAAATAATGCAAACACTTTTTTATACCAAAAATGTCTAACTTATTTCACATTTAAGGGCTTATTTAACAACTACGGGATCATTTATCATACATATATATTTGCTTGTTTTTAAAAAATAATTTATATTTATTTTAACACAATGCCAATTTTATTAAAGTCGACTAGTTTTTAAGAACACTTTGACCTACTCCTTAATTTCACCAACCACTTTATCATAGAAATGATATCTAAGGTATGTTCAACTTGAAGAAGATTTTTGGTGCGAAGAAATTTGCAAATATGTTCACCAACACTATAATGATTGAAAAGTTGAGGCTATGTATGGCCACGATTCACCTCCTACAGAAATAAGCGAAGGGCGCAGACTAGAGAGGATTTGGATTACAGTTTAACTGACAGTTAGAGTGGTCGATTAGTCTCCAGTTGGGGGTGGGGGGGGGGGATTGTTCGAGATGTGAAGTCTAAATTCGAATGGCGAAGCGTTATGAAAAGAGCGCAGCACGGCTACACCATAGAGCAAAGTTGGTCTCAACGAAGATTGGAGATATTCGGACGAAGTGAAGTTCAAGCAGAAGTACAATCTCAGTAATAAAATTTATCACGCAAAATCTCTGTTTCAGACAACTATTGTGCGGACGTGTGGACAATGCTATTCTACAAGATTACTAAGAGAATAGGTTGTTTAGTAATGTGAATAGGTTGTTTAGTAACGGACTACAATCTTGGGCTTACAACGAGCTCAAGAGGAGGAACGTCCAAGATGTTGACGAAGCTATAGCAGTAGCGGAAGACCTTATGGACTTCCGAAGAGATACCCCGATTAGGAAGCCTAGTGGGGGAGAGAGACCGACAACTAGGCCGCAACAGAAGGACGATAAACTCGCTGCAAGACCATCAACTTTCAAGGGGAAGGCGATTGAAGGGGGGCCTCGAAGGGAAGTCAAGTGCTACTTATGTGACGACCCTCACCTAATCAAAGGTTGTCCCAAGAAGAAAAGTTTCAATGCGATGGTCTTCGAAGAAGAAAAGGAAGAGAGAGACGAGGCACAACTAGGCTCAATGCGACGCCTCAATTCGGTGGCAAAAGAAGAGACCCACACGAAGAAAGAAAGAGGACTCATGTTTGTGAAAGTTAGTATAAACGACAAAGTCACTAAAGCCTTAGTAGACACAGGTGCGTCCCATAATTTTCTTTCTAAAAATGAAGCTGAAAAGATGAACATTCAATACACCAAAGAAATAGGCTGGTTGAAAGCTGTCAACTCTCCTTCCGAGCCTATTCTTGGAGTCGCTTATGGGGTAATTGTCGAGATCGGAGGATGGAAGGGTCCTATCGATCTAACCGTAATACCCATGGATGATTATTGCATGGTCTTGGGGATGGAGTTCTTCGACCAGGTACGCCCTTTCTCGTTCGAAGATCAAACCATGCGTATCACCAAGGATTCAACGATACACATCGTACCCTTGGAAAGAAGCAAAACGGAGTCCCGGATCTTGTCGGCCATGCAACTCAACAAGGGACTAAAGAAGGGAGAAATGACGTACTTAGCAGCGTTAAAAGAAGAAACCACCCCGCTCAACGAAGAGATACCAAAGATAGTGAAAAAAGTACTAGAAGAATTCAAGGACGTGATGCCGCCAGAGTTACCAAAGAAGTTACCACCGAGAAGGGAAGTGGATCACGAGATAGAACTCGAGCCCGGAGCTAAGCCACCAGTAATGTGTCCTTATAGAATGGCTCCATCGGAGTTGGAAGAGCTAAGAAGACAATTGAAAGAGCTACTAGATTCCGGATTTATCCGCCCTTCAAAAGCCCCATTCGGTTCCCCAGTCTTGTTCCAGAAGAAACATGATGGAAGTCTAAGAATGTGCATAGACTACCGGGCCCTAAACAAAGTAACGATAAAGAACAAGTACCCGATCCCACTGGTAGCTGATCTATTCGACCGACTCGGGAGTGCACGATGGTTCACAAAGCTGGACTTAAGGTCAGGTTATTGGCAAGTACGCATAGCAGCAGGGGACGAACCAAAGACGACGTGTGTGACAAGGTATGGCTCCTACGAATTCTTAGTCATGCCTTTTGGATTAACGAATGCCCCTGCCACATTCTGCACTTTAATGAATTAAGATATTCCACCCATTATTGGACAAATTCGTAGTGGTGTACTTAGATGACATAGTAGTTTACTCAGAGTCGTTAGAAGAGCACGTTGAACACTTGCGGTTAGTCTTCCAAGTAATTAGGGAAAACCAATTATACATAAAGATAGAAAAGTGCTCCTTTGCCCAACCAGAAGTAACGTTCCTAGGGCATAAGATCGTTGATGGGAAGATCCATATGGATAGAAACAAGATACGAGCAATCCAAGAATGGGAGCCACCAAAGAACGTTTCTGAACTACGATCGTTCTTAGGCCTTATAAACTACTATCGAAGATTTATATCCGGATACTCAGCTAAAGCCACTCCCCTCACCGACCTTCTAAAAAAGAAAGTTTCGTGGGAATGGACTGAGAAGTGTCAAATGCCGTTTGATCTTCTAAAGAAAGCTGTCACGGAGGAACCAGTCTTAAAGCTACCAGACTACACGAAACCATTCCAGGTGCAAACGGATGCGTCAGACTTCGCGATTGGAGGAGTGTTATTACAAGATGACCATCCAGTGGCCTACGAAAGCCGGAAACTAAATGATACAGAACGGAGATACCCGGTACACGACAAAGAAATGACAGCAATCATACATTGCCTTCGAGTATGGAGACACTATTTGCTTGGGAGTCGGTTCGTTATCCAAACCGACAATGTGGCGACTAGTTACTTCCAAAATCAGAAGAAGCTAAGTCCTAAGCAGGCTCGTTGGCAAGATTTCTTAGCAGAATTCGATTATGTCATGGAATATAAGCCGGGAAAAACCAATGTAATTGCCGACGCCCTGAGTCGAAAGGCCGAACTAGCAACCCTCACTCGAGTAACATGCGATTTTGCTGACCGGATCAAGGAAGGGCTAAACCACGATCCGTTAACGAAGAACTTGATGGAAATGGCAAGAGAAGGCAAGACAAGAAAATTTTGGGTCGAAGACGGATTATTATTCACGGTCGGCAATCGAATGTATGTCCCAAGATGGAACAGCTTGAGAAGAGGAATCTTAAAGGAATATCATGATTCTAAATGGGCTGGACATCCAGATACTCATCGTACGAAAGCAATCATAGAACGATCCTATTATTGGCCCAATATGCGAAGTGACATAGACGCCTATGTGAGGACTTGCCTTATTTTTCAACAAGACAAGGTCAAACAGGCCAAAACGGCGGGATTATTGGAACCACTACCGATCTCCGAAAGACCATGGGAAAGCATATCGATGGATTTTATTTCAGCATTACCGACGTCCGAAGGGTGCGGATCAATAATGGTGATTGTAGATCGATTCTCCAAATATGGAACGTTTATTCCAGCCCCTCGGGATTGCACAGCTGAAGAAGTAGGGCGACTATTCTTCAAGCATGTCGTGAAGTATTGGGGACTTCCTCGAAGCATTATAAGTGATAGAGATCCCCGCTTTACAGGGAAGTTTTGGAGGGAGCTATTTAAGCTAATGGGATCAGAACTCCACTTCTCGACTAGTTTCCACCCTCAAACCGATGGCCAAACTGAAAGGGTGAATCACTTGTTCGAGATTTATTTGAGACACTTTGTCAGTGCAAACCAACGGGATTGGGCCAAGCTAATTGATGTGGCCCAATTTTCATATAACTTACAACAGAGTGAGGCTACGGGGAAGAGTCCTTTCGAGATTGTAACGGGCCAACAACCATTGACGCCCCAAGAGCTAACAAACGGTTACAAAGGATCAAGCCCACCTGCGTACAAGTTTGTCAAAGGATGGAACGAGGAACTCGGCATAGCAAAGTCTTACTTACACAAGGCAGCCAAGCGAATGAAGAAATGGGCGGACGAGAAGAGGCAGCCAAGAGAGTTCATAGTAGGGGACGAGGTGATGGTAAAACTCCCACAAAGGATGTTCACATCCACCCGAAAGGTACACAAAGGCTTAACACGAAGATACGAGGGGCCATACAAAGTTCTCGAAAAGGTTGGGACCCGATCATACAAGCTAGAATTACCATCCTACTTAAAGATTCATCCAGTATTCCATGTAAGTCTCCTCAAAGCTTACAATCACGATGAAGAAGATCCATTGAGGAGCAAATCTCATCGAGCCCCAGTAGCAAACATAGTCTCGTATGACAAGGAGGTGGACAAAATCCTAGTAGATAGAACAGTTCGTGAACGAGGCTTACCCAATTGGACAGAATATTATGTTCGATGGAAGGGACTACTCGATAGTGAGTCTAGTTGGGAACGAGAACAAGATCTGTGGCAGTTCCGAAGCAAGATCGAGGAGTACATATCTAAGACTTGACGAGGTCGTCAAGAACTTAGGTGGGGGAGGGTGTCACGATCGAGATTCTAGACTCTTCCGGAGTACTCAAGAAAATGGGAGAACTTAGAAGTATAGCACATTAGACCCTGGAACGTCCTAGATTTCTCTAGGACATCGAAGAATGATTTAGAACATTTCATGAAGACTTGTAAATATATGTAACTTGGTAGAATATTCTAGATTAGTCAAGAATATACGACTAATGTAGTAATATCTAGAAACTTCCCTAAGGGGGGAAGGACAAGTATAAATAGGGAGGAGCTCATTTGCTCCAAACCATCGGAAAGTTTCATTGTATTCTCTCGAGCTCTTATAATAGAAGTTCTCTTTCGTTTGTAAAAACTCGAAAGCCTTATTCTCTTGCTTACTTAGTTGTTTATTCATCTCAAGGAAGTGTTGTAGCCTGACTTAGTCGAAGTTACACTAAGTGGCACACGGGGATC